CCAACCTCCAAAAATGATACTGCAAAACCCACAAAAGCCTTCCTCGTCGAATAATGCTTCTTTTTCCCTTCAATTTTCTTTGCTTTCCACTCAGCTAGTCTCCCAAATATAGGTATTTTGAAATCAAAACTCTTGGCCACTTCCCATGCCATCCACGAACTACGCCTAGCTATAGAAGCCAACAGAGAAAGCGCAGCTCGTTGGCGCTTTGCTTCTTTACTATTCAATTCTTTATACAAATCATTCATTCTCTTTTCCACAATCAATTTTGCAAACTTATCTAATGCGTTAACTATTACAGCAACTTTTGGATCTTTATCCACCCTGTTTTTCCCATAGTATTGGTTGAAAAATCCAGAAATCAAATTTAAAACAACGTAAAGTCCAGTTTTGCTTTTTCGAAGCTCCCAAGCTTGTTCGAGTTCCATACACTTGGATGAATTCTGGATGTATAAGCTGAGAAATTCAAGTCCAGAGTCGGACTTGAGAAGTTTGACGAACTCTTTTGAAGCATCGGAACAGAGTTGGAAATCTGTGGAGGTTAAGTTACGAAGAAGCTCTTTGAGTTTAGCCTCGTGAACGAGTTTATTCCCGAACTGTGGTATTGTTGCTTCTTCCATTGTTTCGCCAATTCAAAAACAATGCAAAAACCCTCAATCTACGTAAAAAGAGGTAAAACAGAGGAGATAAACATTCAATGAAAACTTCCCCAGTTAAAAAAAAAAAAGTTTTTCCAAATGTATAACTTATGTAATGCACCAAATAACAGCTTTAAATGCGTCATTCATAAGAAGATACCCATACCTGAGTGGATGAATTTGACAGTTACTTCTTCAGTTCTTCCTATGCAAAATAGCTAAACTGGAAACAACTTAACGTAACAAATACATGAATTTCAAGCTAGGAGGCGAAAGGGTAGACTTTCAAAATAGAAAAGTAGAAATTTTGATTTCAAATAGAGTGAATAAACTGAGAAATTTCTATTTGTTCAACTTTTGGAAGTTTGTTTTTAGGGTTTCATACGCTTTTCTTATTCAACTGATATGAATAATGAGCTTTTCCATTGAAAGTCGATTACCTTCGCGCTTCAGAATTTAGGGCTTGGTTACAGGGGACAATGAATTAAAGGCGATAGAAAAGTTTCAAAATGAAATGTAGGTGACTCAAGTTTTAATTATTGAGTAGGGGTGACAACTTTTAAATTAAGGATTAATGGAATGGATTTCTCATCCTCAAATTTTTTATTTTATACTTTGGTCCATCTTATATAAAATATTAATAATAAAAAATGGAGGGAAAAAATGACACCAACGACTCACAACTCCTTTTTTCCTTTACTCTCTCTTACCTATTCTTCCATTGTTGTTTCTCTTCTTCTTCTTTATGTTCATTATCATCTTTTTCTTCTTCTTCTTCTTTCTTGTTTACCATCTTCTTATTTTATTGTTTGTCGTAACATTCACATTGTTGGTAATGCAGTTATCGGATCAAATTTCATTCCTATTTCACTGGGCATTACTTCATAAGTGATTTTGGTAAGTAATTAATGATTTTTAACCTAATTTTTCATTTGGATATTTTGAGTGTTTCTTCAATAATTTATAATCGTGTATCCAACAGATAAGTCATCTGTTGCAACAAATGGCTTTCCTGTTGGATACATATTACAATATCAGGCCAAGCTGAGACAAAATCAAAAGCTTGTCCTAACAAATAAGTCATATGACTCATTTATTGCAACAGATGACTTATCCGTTGGATACATATTACAGTACCAGATCAAGTTGGGACAGAACCAGAAGTTTGTCCCAACAGATTAGTCATTTATTGCAACAGATGAGTCATTTGATGCACCAAATGACTCATCTGTTGCAACAAATGGCTTACCTGTTGGATACATGTTATAGTACCAGGTCAAATTGGGACAAAACCAAAAGTTTGTCCAAACATGTAAGTTATATATTGCAACATATGAGTTACTTGTTGCAATAGATGACTCATTTGTTACAACAATTGACTTACATGTTGGATAAGCTTCTTGTTTTGGACATGTATCCAACAAGTGAGTCATCAATTGCAATAAGTGAGTCATCTATTGCAATGGATGACCTACTTGTTGCAACAAATCACTGACTTGTTGGGACAATAATTGTGCATATGATTTTTTAACTGTATATAGTCACTCAACTTTACTATACAATCATTATTAAATAGTTTTAATAAATTCTTTTAGGTACCATTAATGGAAGAATCAATAATAATAGTTGTTGACTGTTATGGAGAATGAATCGAGAAGAACAATCTTGTATCTCATTTTTATAATGCAGCAAAAGCGTACAAAGAGTTGAGTTCTATGACCATTTCAATCAAATAAGCGATATGGTA